GCCTTGAGCTGAAGAGCTGAGGGACAGCGCCCAGGCCCAGAGTTCAGGCCCATGACCAACCAAAAAAAAAAAAGAGTCTCAGAGTTTCCTGCATGGGCTGGTTTTGAACCATGATTCTCAGATCTCAGCCTCCTGAGTAGCTTGGATTACAGGTGTGAGCCACTGGCACCTGATATAAGGAATATAGCTTTGGGATTAAGTCCACCAGTGTACTGGAAACCTATAAACTGTTATGCCAAGGTCGCAGGACTCCCACCAAGAAGACCACCGAGTGTCAGACTCTACAGCTGTTTTATTTAAACGGGCTGCAGCCCGGGCCTCGTCCTACACTCCAACACAGTGGAGCCCAGGAGGAAAGCCCCGAGCTAAGGATTTGCAGGTCTTATAAAGACTCACAATCAGGTGGTTTAGCACCAGGTGTTGCTCTGCTCTGAAACAAGCAACAAATGGTCACTGCTTCAAGTACTTTAACCCTTCAAAACTATAAGCCGGATGCTCCCATATTACTCCTTCCAACTTTCCATCAACAAAAGAATTTTTCAGTCAGCTCTAGAATGGTCAATAGATTTTAATGGCTCACAGAGGAGTGTTTGACTTCTCACCTTGGATGTTCAGAGCTCCCTCATTCCCTTCCCTATCCTGCTCCCATTACCCACTCCACAAGAGCCAGGTCAGGGTGGTGGCTGCTACAGCCAAGATGCAGGCGGGACTTCCGGTGCTTGCCACAGCGCTGTTGCACAGGTCTCCAAAGCAGCAGTTCTTCTGTGTTGTGTAAGTCACGTCTCCCACTGACTCTGTTTCCACTTGATTGCAATGATGGATGGCCACACAGGCTGGATGGTGACTCAGGGGCACTGAGGCTGGGAGAGAGAACAAGACTGGGATGTTGGACTCCTAGCTTTAGGATTTGCCTTTGTGGGGCAGAGATGTATTTTCAAGGAGCTCAAAGAGGTTCTCTGCCCCCTCAAAAATCACTTCCTTGAAGTATTATTAATCCTTGAAGTTATCACTTCTGTGCAATTTCTTTTTTTTTTTTTTTTGGTCTGGTCGTGGGGCCTGAACTCTGGGCTTGGGCGCTGTCCCTCAGCTCTTCAGCTCAAGGCTAGCGCTCTACCATTTGAGACACAGCGCTGCTTCCAGCTTTTTGTTTTTTTCTGCTTACGTGGTGCTGAGGAATCGAACCCAGGGCCTCATGCGTGCAAGGCAAGCGCTTTACCACTGAGCCAACTTCCCAGCTTCTGTGCAATTTCTTATGACCTCAATCATATGACCTCAATCTTACCATGAAGAAACAGCAGCTAAATTCAAACTGAGGGACAGTCTTTAGAATAACTTACCAAAAAAGCAAATTTAAAAATTTTAGCCAGAGCCATGTGCTAGTAGCTCACACCTGTAATCCTAGCTTCTCAGGAGACAGATCTGAGGAGCACAGTTTGAAGCCAGTCTGGACAGGAAAGTCTGTGAGACTCTGATCTCCACTTAATCACCAGAAAACTAGAAGTGGAGCTGTGGCTCAAAGTGGTAGAGTGCTATCCTTGAGCACAAACGCTCAGGGACAGTGCCCAGGCCCTGAGTTCAAGCCCCATGACTGACCAAGAAAAAAACATTTTCAATCAGGTGTTGGTGGTTCATGCCTATAATCTTAGCCATTCAGGAGGTTGAGATCTGAGGATCATGGTTTGAAACCAATCTAGGCAGACATCCTCTGAGACTACTCCAATTAGACAGCAAAAAGCCAGAATTGGAGATGTGGCTCAAGTGGTAGTGAACCAGCCTTGAGCAAAAAAAACAAACCACCATGCATGAGGCCCAGAGTTCAAGCCCCAATACCAGCACACACACACACACACACACACACACACACACTCCACATGTACACGCACATGCACACACAAATTTCAAAGCATTAAAAAACCTATTAGAGCTCTTCCAAAAAGTGAAGATCATGAAAGACAAAATGGAGAAGACTAAAAGGACTTAAGATATAAGTGCAATGTAGAATTGTGGTGGTGGTGGTGTGTGTGTGTGTGTGTGTGTGTGTGTGTGGTTGTACTGGTGTTTGTATTCTGGTATTCTACCACTAAGCCCTCAGCCCATTTTTTGCTTTAGTTGTTTTTTAGATATGATCTGGTGCTTTTTGCCTAGAGCTGACCTCTGATTACAATCTTCCTACCTACAGGTCCCATGTAGCTGGGATTATAAGTGTCTGTCACCATATCTGCCCCTTACTTTCTGATTCTGCTAATTGCACTATATGAGATGTTCAAATTAGTGGATGTTGGGTGGAATATATATATCAACTCTAACCACTTTTGCAACTTCTCTGTTAATTCAAAAGAATAAAAAATTAACACACACTCTCTCTCTCTCTCTCTCTCTCTCTCTCTCTCTCTCTCTCTCTCTTCCCTGATCCTTAGCCAATGCCTAAAAGTTGAAGTTTGGTTTAACAGTATGACCCTGCCATGGGCTGGGAAGGTGGCTCAGTGGTAGAGCACTTGCCTTGCATGCCTGAGGCCCTGGGTTCGATTCCTCAGCACCACATAAACAAAAAGAAAAAAAGCCGGAAGTGGCGCTGTGGCTCAAGTGGTAGAGCACTAGCCTTGAGCTGAAGAGCTGAGGGACAGTGCCCAGGCCCAGAGTTCAGGCCCCATGACTGGACCAAAAAACAAAACAAAACAGTATGACCCTGCCTTAATTGACAAAGAGCTTTTTCCTTTGTGAGTGAAGACTATGATATGGTTTGAAGAGAGTAAAGAGGAGGGAGATGGGAGCCCAGGACCACAGGCTGCTCAGGGCTGAAGTGCCAGGAGCCAGAAGGGGTACAGACTGCCCTACTCCAACAGTGGCACCATCTGCTCAGAGCAATACTGAGCCTGAAAGGTTCTGGAAGCCAGAAGGATTGCCGTGAGGTCTGGAAGCAAGGAAGGGATGAGGGGAAAGGGAAGAAGTGAGGACTCACGGTTCCCAGACAGCTTGCTCTGCGCCAGGCTTGCTTGGGGTTTGCGATCCAGAAAGCCACAGCGCTCTCCCTCGCCACAGGTGATCACTGTCTCTTTGCAGGAGTTACTGGGGCCGCTACCACAGTCATAGCACCGCATGCGGTTTCCTGGCAGAAGAGAAAAGGCATTGGATCCAGGCCCTGGTTGGGGGTGGGGGGTGGGGGTGGCAGAGCAGCTGGTAGAGGACAAAGACAAGGCCCAGTCAGTGAATGAGGTGAATTGACCTCTTCCTTACCCAAAGCAGCCCCCAGAAGGGTGCTGAACAGGACCCCGACACATGGAAGCTTCATCTTGTCTGCTTGTATGGGTGGCACCTCTCCCTCCCACCCACCCCCCTCCAAGGTCCGGCTGTGTCGGCTTTATATCCCCCCTTGCCTTGAGCTTTATAGGGCTATAAAATGGTAGCAAAGAGTCTTTCCCCAGCAGGCATTGGGGCTCCAGGGTACAGGGAGGAGCTCTTTGCATCTTCTGAAGTCTCAAATTCCCCCATGCTTAGTGGCAGTTCTAAAATTGTGGCTTAAGAATTCCTAGGGATCCCTAATTGTCTTTCAAATGGGACTCAGGGGCTTCCTTATTGCAGTTCTAGATCTGTGTGAGGCTGGCTGTTTTGCATACACTGCAATGGAAATCAGTGCATCCTTACAGATGGAATGGAGAAGGGAAATGTAGCCAGCCCGGACTGAGGCTGATGCATTGTACACATGTGGAAATGTCACAGTGAAACACCCCTGTACACAACTGAGGCTAGCCAGGCTCTGCTGGCTCACACCTGTAATCCTAGCTACTCAGAAGGCTGAGATCTGAGGATCCCAGTTCAAAGCCAGCCCAGACAAGAAAGTCTGTGAGACTCTTAAGTCCAATAAACTACTAAAAAACCGGAAGTGGCACTGTGGCTCAAGTAGTAGAGTGCTAGCCTTGAGCTGAAGAGCACAGAGACAGGGCCTAAGTCCAGAGTTCAAGCCCCATAACCGACCAAAAAATAAAAAAACAACCCCACCACCAACAACAAAAACAATATTAATAAAAAAGTTAATTTAAAACATATAAACTAGGCACTAGTGGCTTAATCCTGTATTCCTAGCTACTCAGGAGGCTTAGATCTGAGGGTCGCCATTAGAAACTAGCCCAGAATATGAGACTCATATCCAACTAACTGCCAGAAAAATGGAAGCAGGGCTGTGGCTCAATGTGGTAGAGTGCTAGCCTTGAGCAAAGAAGCTCAGGGACAGCACCCAAGCTCTGAGTTAAAATCCCATGACAAGCCAAAAACAACAACAACAACAAAAAAATGTAATAATGGTGTTTTGGTTAAATATTTTGGAAGACACTTTGCTTAGATAAAATGAGGTTGTTTTGGTTATATATCTTTGAAAAATATGTACTGAAATAATTATTGTTGAAATTATCCAATGCTGTAAGTTAATACAAAATGAAGAGTGTGGAATTTGATATGTATGAACCATGACTTACTGTGAGTATATGATTACTGATTTTGGGGGATATGTACTGTTTAATTCTCTGCATTTTTGTAAATGTTACATTTTTTTTTTTTTTTTGTCAGTCATGGGGCTTGAGCTCTAGGCCTGGGCGCTGTCCCTCAGCTCTTCAGCTCAAGGCTAGGAATCAAACCCAGGGCCTCATGCATTCCAGGCAAGCACTTTATCACTGAGTCACCTTCCCAGCCCTGTTTCAAATTTTTTGAAATAAGAACTTCAATTTTAAAAAGGAGCTGGGCAGGGGCTGGGAATGTGGCTTAGAAGTAGAGTGTTTCCTTAGCATGCATGAAGCCCTGAGTTCATGCCTCACTACTACATAAACAGAAAAAGCCCTAGGTTCATCCCTCAGGACCACATAAACAGAAAAATCTGGAAGTGGTGCTGTGGCTCAAGTGGTAGAGTTGCTAGCCTTGAGCAAAAAGAAGTCAGGGACAGTTCCCAGGTCCTGAATTCAGGCCCCAGGACTGCCAAAAAAAGGAAAAGAGAAAAGAAAGGAGCTGGACACTAGTGGCTCATGCTTATAATCCTAGTGACTCAGGAGGCTGAGATCTGAGGAGTAAGGTTCAAAGCCAGCCTGGGCAGGAAACTCCATGAGATTCTTATCTCTAACCACCAGAAAACTGGAAGTTCAGCTGTGGCTCAAAGTGGTAGAGCACTAGCCTTGAGTGAAAAAGCTTAGGGATAGCAGGTAGGCCCTGAGTTAGCCCCACAACTTACCAAAAAGAAGGAAATAAAGGCTGGGATGTAGCTTAGTGGTAGAGTGCTTGCCTAGCATGCATAAAGCCCTGGGTTCGATTCCTCAGTACCACAAACACAGAAAAAGTTGGAAGTGGTGCTGTGGCTCAAGTGGTAGAGTGCTAGCCTTGAACAAAAGAAGCTCAGGGATAGTGCCTAGGCCCTGAGTTCAAGCCCTAGGACTGGCAAAAAAAGAGGGGAAGGCATGAAGTGGGCATGGTTTTACACACCTGAAATTCCAGCATTTAAAAGAGGTTGAGGGAGTTGGGTCAAAGTTTTAGGCCAGCCTGGGCTATACAATGAGACCTTGTTCCAAAAACTTATAAAAAGGATAGTATACATAATTATGTACAATATGTAAGACCCGATAATGATCATAAATGACTTATCTTACTGGTTTATCTTTAAAAAGGGGCAGGGAGTGAAAAGAAAACTAGTCATCATCTATTAAACCTGCCATTAAATAGATTCACAAAAACGCAGCAATGCCACTATGAGGTTGGAAACTCAAAATTATTTTCCACAAAACTATGTTTTGTTCATGTGTAATCATTTAATTGTTTATTTGTTAAATGAATCAACCAACAGCTATTTTAAATGTCCTGTTTTCAGTTCTGATACAGTAAATATTGATGTAACCCACATAAGGAAAAGCTCTTTGGAGTCTTCAGTAATTTTTAAGAATACTAAGAGAAGTCAGGTGCTGGTGGCTCATACTTGTTGTCCTAAGTACTCAGCAGGCTCAGATCTGAGAATTGTAGTTCAAAGCCAGCCTGGACAGGAATGACTGAGAGAATCTTATTTCCAATTAACCACTCAAAACCAGAAGTGGAGCTGTGGCTCAAAGGAGCAGAGCATTAGCCTTGAACAAAAGAAAAAAACAAACAAACCTCAAGGACAGCACTCAGGTCCTGAGTTCAAGCCCCATGACTGACAGAGAGAGAGAGCGAGCGAGCGAGCGAGAGAGAGAGAGCGAGAGAGAGAGAGAGAGAGAGAGAGAGAGAATATCAAGAGACCCGAGTCCTCCCCCTTCTTCTCCTCTAGCCTCCCCACTTTGCACCTACCCTTTTAAGGTACTTCCCTTGGAGCTGGGGATAGAAGCCAGGGCCTCAAACCTGCTAGGCAAGCTCTCCACAACTGAGCTACATCCCTGTCCTCAATCTTTTCAACCCCAGTCTGCCAGCCTGCCATACTCCCCTCCTCCTGAATCCTACCTGTGCTTCCTTCCTGGTCCTTCTGCTTCCTCCCCAGTGGAAAAGCATCTGTCCCTCCCTCTAGTTCCACTCATGATTAATTCTTTCCTCCAAGGCAGTAAAGCTGGGAGGGATAATTAGAGAGGGGTAGGAATGTTGAGGCTTGGGGGGGGGATCAAAGGGATGCCAGCAGGGTGTGGCCACCCCTTCACTGCTGGGCTTTGTGAGTGGGGTGTGGGGGTGGGTGAGTGGGCACATTATTGATGCGGTACTCAAGCCACACACACTAACCATCTAGGCCAAGGTTGTTTAGGAGTGTGACCTTGAGAAGCAGACCTATTTTGAAAGGACAGACAGGGAAAATAGGGAGCAGAGAGAACAGAGAACAGTTTGCGTTTGCGGGAGGGAGGGTGGGGTACAGGAGAGAAGGCGACAGACGCAACTCAGGAGTGGCAGACAGAGTTGAGTTACAAACACTGAGAGAACAGAAAAGACCCTCAAGGCACGGACAGGGAGGGGTGAGAGATTTTGGGTGCCAAGAACAGAGGGCTGGGGCCCTGCTGTATCAGGCTGATGAATTGTCACCGAGCCACCCCCAGATTCTCTCTCTAGGAGTGTTTGTTTATCGGTTCCTCCCTATCTTGCTTAAACGCTGCACACATTGAATGCTGATCACATTCTCGCAGATTTCCTGCACCCGAGTTCCATCATGGGCACTTCCAGCATCTTCCTCTGTATCCTGTTCCTCTGTGGAGCACTGGGTAAGGGTGGTCTGGGGAAATCTTAGGGGCTGAGGGAGAGCAGCACTGGGGCTGGGGCTTGAGGAGGAGTCTGAGGGCTGGAAGGGAGAGAGGCTGGCAAGAAGGCCAAGAGAAAAGCCAGGGACTTGGGGGCAGATCAACTGTTGGGTTGGCCTCAGGCCTGCCTGGTAAGGTGGAAGAGAAATTTGCTTTCCAAATCATCCCTTGCTGCTTCTTTGATCTGTTTTTCTGCTCTCCTTTATCTCATCTCTTGCTTGGTGCTGGGTCCCTTGGTCCTTGTCCATTCCTATTTTCTTATCTCTGTTGACATCTACTTTGCTCACGTCCTCTCTCTACTTCATTAAGGGTCTGGCTTTTGTGTGTCATTCTTACATATTCTCTTGGCTTCTGTTCATATCTGGGTGTTTTTCAATTCTGTGTCTCTCTCTTGTCTCGCCTTTATTTCCCTGCATGTTCTCTCCCCACCTTCCTGGCTCTCTCTTTTTTTCTACTTCTGCCTGCCTCCATTTCTTTCTTTCTTTATATTTTTGTTGGTCATGGGGCCTGAACTCTGGGCCTGGGCACTGTCCCTCAGCTCTTCAGCTCAAGGTGAGCACTCTACCACTTGAGCCACGGCGCCACTTCTAGCTTTTTCTGCTTATGTGGTGCTGAGGAATTGAACCCAGGGCCTTACGCATGTGAGGCAAGCACTCTACCACTGAGCCACTTTCCCATCCCTGCCTCCATTTATTTCATGTCTCCTCTTTTCCTCCTTTGTGTGTCAACTTTCTCTGGGTGTTCCTCTGTAGGATCTGGGACCTACCCCTACCCTTCACCTTCCACTTAACAGGTCTCACCACTTCCCCTGCCCGAGGTCGGCTCCACTGTTACACTTGCACCTTTGCCAAACCCTGCTACCCTGTTCCCACTGAGTGTCAGGACGACGAGGTCTGTGGCACCAGCATTGGCACCTCAGGTAGGACTCTGATCCCACGACCCTTCTCTGGGTGCCTCCCTACTTCCTCCTTCCTGCTGCCTCTGTCTCTATATTCCTCCTTTGTCCCACAGACCAGAATGATGAGGTCATCGAGAGGAAAGCTTGCCTTCCAAGGGCCCAGTGCCCTCTGCCGGGCCATACCACCTACTGGCTTCGCTCCTACACGTTGACGCATCACTGCTGTGAGCAGGATCTGTGCAATGCGGCCACCTCGCTGCAGTGGCCTCCCAGCCTCCTCCTCACCACCCTGCTCCTCCTTGCTGTCAGCTTCACCTGGGGAGGACACCTTTTCTACTAGCCTTGTATGGATCCCCAGCCTTTCCATCACCACGACCCTGGAAACACCTGCACAGACATGATTTTGTCCAGAGCTCTCCTGAGAGCTGGCTCCTATAGGTATTATTCTAGCCCCTGCAGGTATCCATTCAGGAACACCTGCTCTGTGTCTTTTTGCCTCTTCTAGAAGCTAAGTGCTGCTGCTCCCTCTCAGCCTCAGCCCCAGAACTCTGTCAGGATAGCCATGTTGAAGGAGCTGTTGGTCTCAAACATGGGGATTGAAGGGGCACTATGAACAGAATCTTGCTAGAAAAGATGTAATTTGGGCCAGGTATTGGTGGCTATTCAGCAGGCTGAGATCTGAGGATTGGGTTAGAAGCCAGCCCAGGCAGAAAAGTCCCTCGAGACTCTTATCTCCAATTAACCATTCAAAAACCAGAAGTGAAGCTGTGGGTCAAAGTGGTAGAGCACTAGCCTTGAGCAAAAGAGCTCAGGGACAGTGCCCAGGCCTTGAGTTTAAGCCCCACAGAGAAAGAAAGACAGAAAGAAAGAGAGAGAGAGAAAGAGAGAGAGAAATAAAGAAAGAAGGAAAGAAAGGAAGGAAGGAAGGAAGGAAGGAAGGAAGGAAGGAAGGAAGGAAGGAAGGAAGGAAGGGAAGGAAGGAAAGGAAGGGAAGGAAGGAAGGAAGGGAAGGAGGAAGGAAGGAAAGAAAGAAGAAAGAAAAGAAGGAATGAAAGTTGAGCAAGAATGAGAGGCCTTGAGTTCAATCCCCATTACAGGAGAAAACAAAAAAAAATTTAATAAAAGGGCTAGGAGCCTGATAATGTTGTATGTGCAGGATGTTTTGTGTGTGTGTGTGTGTGTGATCATTCAAGTGTGCATGGGTGTGTACTCTAAGAATGAACTTAGCTACTTAATGGGTTGGAATGGAATGCTGGAATAAGAACCATTTTCCCCTCTTTTTTCCATCTGCATCATTCTCATCTTCTTTCCTGCCAATAACTGAGCTTAAGCCGCTTGGTGTGAAGGTTGTAGGCAACATTTTTCAAAAGTGATTCTGCAGAGAGGCCCAAGCTCGAGCCAAGACTCCAAGGTACACCTGGTGCAGTTGCTGGCTAGGGTGGGGCCAGGCACCCTGCTCATGTCTCCAGAGATGCCCTCCCCCCATCACCAGCTTAGGTTTGTCCAGCATTATTGACCCTAGTGGGGAGCCTCATAGCCAGCCCTGTGAATGTTCCCTCTGCCCAGGGAGATAGGCTGTGACCCCAGGATGCAAGGAGACACTGCTCCCAGGGAATCCCAGGCGATAAGCTATTCACACCAATGGAGAACCACAGGAAGCCTGTGTGCTTAGGATAAGGAGGGTGTCACAGTGTGAGTGGGGGGCAAACACAAGCACCCCCATTCTCGCTGAGTTCTCCCCCCTCCCATCTAAGGAAGTCTGAGGCTGGTTAAAGGAGCTTGTTAGCTGGGTGCCGTTGGCTCACGCCTATAATCCTAGCTACTCAGGAGGCTGAGATCTGAGGATCATGGTTCAAAGTCAATTCAGGCAAGAAAGTCCATAGGACTCTTATCTCCAATTAACCACCAGAAAACCAGAAGTGGTGCTGTGGCTCAAAGTGGTAGAATGCTATCCTTGAGGGCAAGAGCTCCGGGACAGCACCCTGGCCCTGAGTTCAAGCCCCATGGCTGACAAAAAAATAATAATAAAAAGGAGCTTGTTCCCTCTCAACTTTTTTTTCTTTATGAGGATCACACTTAGGGAAGAAAGAGGGGAGATCTGGCTTAATTTAGAGACAGGTTGAATCTTCTTCCTATGTTAGGTAATTCCTCAGTCCTCCTGCTTATGCTTCTATCTTGTTCTCTCCTTCCACATTGTTTTTCTTCCTGTGACTCAAGTCCCCTTCCTCCTCTCTCAATCTCCCCACCATTACTGATACCCTTACCATTGCTCAAATCTCTGGCTTGTTCTATTTTCTCCCTGTGGGTGCACACGCATATGCACGCACACACACCCACCCACCCCTTCTCACCCTCAACAGCTCCCCCAGGCGCCTCTCAATTCCATAGTATAGTTAGTGGTGCTCAAGGCCACCCCTCCACTGGCTGCTTCAAGACAGGAGACCACACCTTTCTGGGGTGACATCATGGACTAATCCTCTCCCACCCCCTCCCCCACAAAGATGGGTGACTGCTGGAGGCCGGCGGTAAAGTCATGCTGGCAGCACTGCCCCTCCCTCGCTTGACAAGGTTTTTTTTCAGGGAATCTTTCAGGTGTCGGAAGAAGGCCACGGGAGACAGCAGGTCACACATTCCAGCAGTTGATGTCACCAAGATCACCTGGTCTTGTGGGTGGGTGGGCTGTGGGATTTGCAAAGCCCAGAGTCAGATTTTTAAAATGATAACTCCATTCATTTCCCAGGCACCAGGACCCCAGCCCCAATCTCACCCCAGGGCTTCCTTTCTCAGTCCCAGGTCCTCTGGGAGTTAAGCCTCTGCTCCACAGCTGTTCCTCACCTGAGATGGGCCAAGTGGATGTTCTCATATACCTGGACCTCAGGTTTGAAGTGAGGAATGGAGGCCTCTAGGGAAAAGCAGCCAGATGGTATGAAATTAACTCAGATAGGTGGGCACTGGTGGCCTGTAATCCTAACTACTCAGGAGGCTAAGATCTGAGGATAGAGGTTCAAAGCTAGCCAGCGCAGAGAAAGGCCATGAGACTTATCTCCAACAAAAGTACTCAGAAAAAGCCGAAGTGGAGCTGTGGCTCAAGTGGAAGAGCACTAGCCTTAAGCAAAACAAGCTCAGGGACCATGCCCATTCCCTGAGTTCAAGCCCACCCCTCCATTAGAGATCAGAGGAAGTCTGACCTTTTCCCTGGTATCCAAGTGAAGGACTTACCTCTGTCTCGAGTCACTTGGACTCTCTGTCTACAGAGCATGATGCCCAGGGCCAAGTTGGCAAATCCCTGGCCCACTGTGAACAGGAGCATGAGGACCCAGGGCACATCCCAACTCGAGGAAGGGACACAGAGGCTGGGAGAAACATCCATGGAGGCTATAGGAAAGGAAGACAAGAAAGACAGGGAGGCTGGGTACCAGTGGCTCACACCTGTAATCCTAGCTACTCAGGAGGCTGAGATCTGAGGATCATGGGATGACAGGCATTTGCCACCACGCCTGTCTCTACGGTGGCCTTCGGTCGCAGAACAATTACATGTTATTTTCTTCTGCCTTCACCATCAATGGGGTCATTCTTTTTTTTTTTTTGGGTCCGGTCGTGGGGCCTGAACTCTGGGCCTGGGGGCTGTCCCTCAGCTCTTCAGCTCAAGGTTAGCACTCTACCACTTGAGCCACAGCGCCACTTCTGACTTTTTTTTTCTTTTTTTTTGCTTATGTGGTGCTGAGGAATTGAACCCAGGGCCTCATGCATTCAAGGCAAGCGCTCTACTACTGAGCCACCTTCCCAGCCCCAATGGGGCCATTCTTATACCTAGGTCATAAATCCTATCTTTAAAAGATAGATAGATTGCTGGGGGAATTCCCCCAGCAATAATTTCTATTTTCTTACTCTTTGATATGGGAATTCCACACATAACCCCAAAAGTCTCTGATTACCTATTTCTAAACAATAAAATAAGTATTAGAGGTGTGGCTCAGTTGGTAGAGTGCTAGCCAATAATCGAAAGCATCAGGTACCAAGTTTGAGTCCTGGACAAAAAAGAAAGAGAGAAAGGAAAGAAGGAAGGAAGGAAATAATATAGAATATTTCTATACTGAAGCATAGGCCTCAGCTGCTGGTCAAGTGCTTCAGAAAACTGGCTTAACAAACTCCTTTCTCAGCCAGGTGCCAATGACTCATGGCTGTAATCCTAGCTACCCAGGAGGCTGAGATCTGAGTATCAAGGTTCACAGCCAACTCAGGCAAGAAAGTCTGTGAGACTCTTATGTCCAATTAACGACCAGAAAACCAGAAGTAGAACTGTGGCTCAAGTGGAAGTGTGCTTGCCTTGAGCTGAAGAGTTCAGGGAGAGTGTCCAGGTCTAGAGTTCAAGCCTCATGATCAACAAAAACAAAACAAAAACCTCCTTTCTCTGTAATAAATTTGGTCAAAGCCTTCTGCTCTAAACATTGATGTACTCCACCAGAAGCGCCCCCCTCCCTCCAAATCTGGCCTGATTTGCTTCCTATTTTACCTCCTCTCCTAACCAGATGGGTGTGCCACAGGGACCATCCTTTCCCATCTCCTCCTTCAGTTTACCTGCCAGGCTAAAATTGATTGCTTTGTTTTGAGGCAAGAGACAGCGAATGATTCTTGGTCTCCGGCCTCTGTGCCCAGGAAGCCCCTCCAAAGGACACACCAAGAGCAGGGCTGATCCATCACCCCAGAAGTACTGAACATGTCCTCTCACGGGACCCTTCCCCTCCTGCCAGGTCACAGAGTCCAGACGCCTGGCAGGGACCACAGAGCAGAGGAGAACAGAGCAGGAGGATCCGTTGGAGGCCTTTGCAGAGAACTGGGATCCTGGGGAGAGAGAGAGAGAGACCTCTCAGGGCTTGGCGTGGGCTTCCCTAGCCCTCAGTGACCCTTCATCTTCATCTCCACACTTACCTTTGAGCACAGAGACATCATACACCCTCCAATTCTGGTACTTCTGATGCTGCTGATCGACCACCATGCACCAGTACCGCCCAGCATCTCCATCCTTGGATCCTTCCAGCCATAAAGAATAGTTTCCCAAGAGTTTGAGCCTGGATTCTCTTCCAGATTTCCCAAGATCTAGGCCTGACTTGGCCACTTGAACTTGGGCCACCTGAATTGTGGAAGAACCTGCCGCAGGGCTGTAGAACCAAGACAGGAGTTCATCCCCATGTTGGGTGGGTGGAGAAGGACATGGCAGCTCCATCGCCTCCCCCAAGGTCACGTAGATGGCGTGGATGCTGTCTGTGAGGAGATGGTTGTATGAGGATGGAGACTTCCTCACATCAACAAGCCTCCACTTGTCCTCAAACCTCTATTTTTCCTCTCCTTCTAGATCTCTCAGTACTAGTTTGGGAGATAGAGAGAATATAAAGGCCTTCCTTCCCCCTCCAAGCCAGTGAAATAATCTGAGGGCAAAAGAGAAAAGACTGATGTTGGGCTCACACCTGTAATCCCACCTACTCCGGAGGCAGAGATCAGGAGGATCACAGTTTGAGGCCAGTCCTGGCAAAAAAGTTCTAGAGACTTATCTTAAAAAGTCAGGTGTGCGTAGAGCGCTAGCCTTGAGCTGAAGAGCTGAGGGACAGAGCCCAGGCCCAGAGTTCAGGCCCCACGACCAGACCCCCTCCCCCCAAAAAAAATTAAAAAAAAAAAGTCAGGTGTGGCTGGGCACTGATAGCTCATGCCCTAAATCCTAGCTACTCAGGAGACTGAGATCTGAGGATCACAGTTCAAAGCCAGCCCAGGCTTAGAAACTCCAGGAGACCCTTATCTCCAATAAAACACTCAAAAAACTAGAAGTAGTGCTGTTGCTTAAGTGGTAGAGCGCTCACCTTGAGCTGAAGAGCTCAGGGACTGAGCCCAGGCTCAGAATTCAAGCCCCACAATTGACCAAAAAAAAAAAGTGTGGCTGGGTGCTGGTGACTCACACTTGTAATCCTAGCTGCTCACGAGGCTAAGATCTGAGGATCATGGTTCAAAGCCAGCCCAGGCAGGGAAGTCCGTGAGACTCTTATCTCTAATTAACCACCAGAAAAACAGAAATAGCACTGTGGCTCAAAGTCATACAGCACTAGCCTTAAACAAAAGAGCTTAGGGACAGTATCCAGACCCTGAGTTCAAACCTCACTACCGACAAAAGGAAAAAAAAAGGTCAGGTATGGTTTTATACAATTAAGATCATGCATGGGCCGGGTGCTGGTGGCTCACACCAGTAATCTTAGCTACTCTGGAGGCTGAGATCTGAGGATCACAGTTCAAAGCCAGCCCGGGCAGGAAAGACTGTGAGACTCCTATCTCCAATAAACTACCAGAAAAACGGAAGTGGCGCTGTAGCTCAAGTGGTAGAGTGCTCGCCTTGAGCTGAAGAGCTGAGGGACAGCACTCAGGCCCAGAGTTCAAGCCCCATGACCGACAAAAAAAAATCATGCATGGTCCAGCCAGCCTGGGAAAAACATGAAGAGAGTCTATGTGAAAAAGAATGGAAGCAGCTGGGAGCTGCTGGTTCATGCCTGTAATCCTAGCTACTCAAGAGGTTCAGATCACTGGATCATGGTTCAAAGCCAACCTGAGCAGAAAAGTCTGTGACTCTTATCTCCAATTAAGTACTTCTTCAAAAAAGCCAGAAGCAGAGTTGTAGCTCAAATGGTAGAGAGCAAAAAAACTAAAGACAGCACCCAAGCCCTGAGTTCAAACCCCAGAAACAGCATGAATGAATGCATGAATAAATAAATGAATGAGAATGAGTTGGTGGTGAGCTCAAATGGCACTGGAATCCAGGAGTTCAAGGCCAGCCTGGACTATATAGTGAGTCCCTGGCATGAATTTATGAATCAATAAACAAATAAAGGAAGAGAGAGGGCTGGGAAGGTGGCTCAGTGGTAGAGCACTTGCCTTGCATGCCTGAGGCCCTGGGTTCGATTCCTTAGCACCACATAAGCAAAAAGAAAAAAGCCAGAAGTGGCACTATGGCTCAAGTGGTAGAGCGCTAGCCTTGAGCTGAAGGGCTGAGGGACA